CTTAGTTTGAAATTCGACGCTGTGACAGCGCTGTAGCTGTACGCAAGGTTCCTTAGAGAATAGCACTGCTGGTGACCAGTCAGCTCATTTTCTCCCTGTATGATGAAAAACTGGGTATGGTAATACCACAACTCACTGGTTACTTCCGAAATCTCAACTGTACAAACTTTAATTTTCAAAAGTAGTTTACCCAATGAGTGTCGGAATTTGCAAGCAAAATATTTTTAACTGATTTCAATGCGTGGATTATTTTTTTTGTGTTTTTATTAGGCGATATGTTCGCCATTTGTGAACGGCATTCCATTATTATTTTTCTAAACGAATATGTTATAGTCAAGGTTGAGTTCATTAAAATTCGAAATAAATATACCATTGTGTTTGCAAATTTAATGCAAAATGAACAATACAGCTTAGTACAATTTACCAAGAATTCGGCGTATTTTTAAGTCGTTGATGGATGTTTTAATGTAAATTATTGAAAATTTGACTTTTATTACATTGCATTAAAGTTAAAGTTTTTTAAGTACCTTTTATTTTATATACGAAATAAACGCAAATACTTATTACGATTATTATAAACAAATGTGAAACAATTTCCCAACAATGGCAAGTAGCGTCATCTATCCTATTCACTATGAACTACTACATTCAATATTGTACTAGCACATATTATGTGTATGTGCAAGTCAAAGGTAGTGACACAAAAGTAATTAATTACAGCGCCATCTATGATCTACTATAAGAACTTCTTAAGTACAAAACAAACAGTTGTGTATCCTATCGGAAATAACTTCCCAACTTGTGCTAATATAATACTGCAAGCTGAGTATTTACATTTTGGTATTATTAATGTTTATTCATTAATTAACCGACTTCATCTCTTCATCTCAATCTTATTTTTTTATGTAAGGTCACTGATTACTCGAAAATGCCTCAACCGATTTGGAAAGTTGTTTTTTATTTCAAAGGATATACTTCCCAAGTGGTCCCATTTAAATTTTAAAGAAATCGGTTGTGGTTGTTAAAAAATCAACAAAAATCTAATAATTGTGTACATCGGTGATATCTTCGTTTGCTCTGTGTCGGTATTGTTCAAAGTCGGTTCAACTTTTTTCTAAAAAGATTTTTATTTATTTTCGCTTTAAATTAAGACTTGATTAGGGTTTTATTATAGTGTACGTACCAATGATATTTTAAGGAAGATACATTATTTCATACTGCACGCACAAAACATTTGTTCCGTAACCGTACATACATCTATTAACACACACACACACAACACCCTTACCTGTGTTATAATATTCCTTTATCTTTATTTACATTTTGTCGTAATTTCTGCACAGAGGAAATACACAGGAATGCATTTTATGGATTTTCTCGAATTAAATAGTACGTGCGCTCGCTCGCAGTGGTTCTAAGACCCCCGCAGTTTATGCGATGGCGTATCTACCTCTTGTTTGTACATAATATCATTGAAGCGAACAAAGGCATTTGACGATCTTATGACATGCTAACCTTGAAACGTACACCTACCTATGTACGTAACTATTTACTATTAAACCTCAGAGTAGTAATACAAGCAATGAAAACGGCGTGAGGGGTCTATGGACCCCCGGATGGAATGAAGTTAGTGTCGATTAAAAGTCTTGTTGCAAATTTTTCGGTCTCTCTCTCATCCGCTCAGAACGAGTGACGTGCGATAAGAAACTTCGTTCCAAAAAATAATTTTATGTACTTTTAGGTATAGCTGTTTTACGTAATTTGTAACGTAATAACATGGTTGGTCTGCCTACTGGTAAACTCACACATTCGGTAAAAAGCAACAAAGTATTATTTACGTTTCTGAAAAATATTCTAGACAAATAAATAAAATTCAGGGATGTTAGACTGTGGTAAGCCAAAGCTGTCATCATAGCTCCCGAACGGATGGAGCAATTTCGCTGCGGACTTTTTTGTTCGAAAGCCGATGTGGTCGAGATGGTCCTTAGCTATAAACTTTGGAGATGATCACTAAAATTTTCAGGTCCGATTGATCCGAAATTTGGTATACTGTTACTTTGATGGTATTTCCACGACATGGTAACCTGGAACTTGCTGCTGCATCAAGTAGTCTGCGTGATAGCCAACTCCTCAGAAAAATATACCATGTCTCCGTGTGGTGACGGATTAAGAATACAGAGTACCACCCCTATTCATCCCGTGGGTGTCGTAAGAGGTGACTAAGGAAGCAAACTACGCAGGACAACAGCACTGCAAAAAGAAGGAAAACTTGACACACCCTATACCAACCCGTCTGGCCAGAGTGGTATAGTAGGCCAAAACCTGCTTTCTAAGGAGAGGCCTATGTCCAACAATGGACTATTAAAGGCTGTTGATGTGATGTGATGAAGTGATACCATGTTTGGGCTTTATACTGAATTTTGTGTCGGGGGTTTTATAAATAGGTTTATTGCTGTTTTAAAGTATGATGTCACATCTCTCAATTAATTTATGTCCTGACCTTACCCACTTGTAACGTTAAGGGCACGTGGTCAATGAATAATAAAGTGTATCACAACATTCACAACAAATGTGCCAGTACAATATCAAGTTCGCATTTCATCTATACTAATATTATAAAGCTGAAGAGTTTGTTTGTTTATTTGTTTGTTTGTTTGAACGCGCTAATCTCAGGAACTACTGGTCCGATTTGAAAAATTCTTTCAGTGTTAGATAGCCCATTTATCGAGGAAGGCTATATATCATCACGCTAAGACCAATAGGAGCGGAACACCAATGAAGAATGTTTAAAAAACGGAGAAAATTTATTACTATTGAGAGACGCAGACGAAGTTGCGCGGGTCAGCTAGTACAATATATAATATATAATAAAATACCAGATACATTGAAAGATTTGCCACTTCAACAATTTAAAAATAAGTTTACAGACTTCCTGGTGGAGAAATGTTATTACTGTCTAACGGATTATTTAAATGATGCAATTTAATTATTATATTGTTTTACTAGCTGAGACCGCGAAAGTAGTCTACGTTACTCCTGATGTCATCAGCTATGTGCCAGTGAAAGTCCCGTCGAAATCGGTCCAGCCGTTCCAGAGATTACCCGGAACAAACAGACAGACAGACAGACAGACAGACAAAAATTGTAAAAAAATGTTATTTTGGCATATGTACCGTGTAAACATACATAAGCATTTAGTAAAAAGCGGTTATTTTAATATTACAAACAGACACTCCAATTTTATTTATTTGTATAGATTTTTTATGACATTTTTTGTAGTTTTTTTTTGACAAGTAAAGATTTAAATTTTATTATTTCTCATTATAATTTTATTGAAATATGTAAAAGGTTTTTATATCCTAATTTTATTTAATAATTGTCTTTTTTTTATCTTAATTATGTACCATCAGTCATAAATTTTTGTAAGCAATAAATTATTCACAATATTCTTTTAGATTTGTATGCCGTATGACAGAATGTACCAGGAACTTACTCGTACTTTACTTACACAACATCTAATTTGTATTTTTTACCTTCATTCTAAACAAATAAAGTTTGATTTGATTTGATTTGATTTTTCATTGGCTATGCTGTTCGTCTAGTGGGAGTGGGTGACTGCTAAATCTGAAGTCCAAGTCTCGTAATAAAAATTTGGTCAAAATTCAGTTCCGATCTACAAATGTCAAAAAAGGTATTTTTGTAGTAAAATAGTAAAGTATTATTAACCTCCGACGCGTCGCCGTCACAACAGTTGTGACAACAAATTTTTACGCGGTAGCGTCTCTGTCACAACATTTAGAAGAATATATATCAGGGATTCCAAATATATGTTTATTTCATTGAATCTATACTAATATTATAAAGCTAAAGAGTTTGTTTGTTTGAACGCGCTAATCTCAGGAACTACTGGTCCGATTTGAAAAATTCTTTCAGTGTTAGATAGCCCATTTATCGAAGAAGGCTATATATCATCACGCTAAGACCAATAGGAGCGGAGCACCAATGAAGAATGTTTCAAAAACGGAGAAAATTTATTACTATTGAGAGACGCAGACGAAGTTGCGCGGGTCAGCTAGTATAATTATAAAATAACGTAGATATTGAGGTAATAATGACTTCGCTCATCTGTGACTGGGTCACTAGTTCAAGAGAGCGACAGTAACGGGTCATAGGTCATCCGCGCGCCGCGAAGTCCTAAGAGTTAAGACTAGTGAATTACCGATTTGACTTTCAGTTACAATACATATATAATCACATTACAGTCAACGCTGGATGTTTGACATCAGATCACATCAACTGCATTTACTAGTCCACTGCTGGACATAGGCCTCTCCTTACGAAGGAGGTTTTGGCCCACTATACCACGCTGGCCAGACGGGTTGGTATAGGGTTTGTGTCAAGTTTTTCTTCTCTCTGCAGTGCTGTTGTCCTGCGTAGTTTTTTCCTTAGTCGCCTCTTAAGACACCCACGGGATGAATAGGGGTGGTGACACTCTGTATTCTTAATCCGTCACCACACGGTTCGATGTTTAAAACGTTACTAAGAAAATACCTATTATGATATTTTTGAGGTTGAATGTAGTTCGGTACTGAATTTTGACCGATTTTTTATAACGACCATTGGCTTTCTGCGGTAGTAAGCGAGTGGTCTGGCCTGGCCAGGCCTGCGTACACAAGTGTGTGTGGGTGTGTGTGTGTGTGTACTCCCTATAGATAAAGTATACAAATACATATTAGAAAATAACACTTTTTCCCGTTGAGTATTTAAAGTGGCTACGTCCTTATCCGTCGGTGTGATTAAAGAGCGTCCTGTGATCAAGTTCTTGCGGATTTGATGTAGAATTTAACAAGAATACCTGCAATGTTCGACCTACAGCCTACAGAATAGAACCTTTACTTAGAGACTCACCTAACAGCATCCCGCAAGGTGGCAGATGCAGCTGGACGCTGATGAGAGTATTATCAGGGATCACGTCTTGTCACCGAGATGCCATTCTTTATTTATTCCTGGGGACAAAAATAATCTTATACATAATACTCATTAAAGAACACCTTATCAAATTAAAAGAGTAACAAGATAATAGTAGCAATATATTTTTTTTTGACATTTCCCGCATTAGGAATATATCCTGTGTCGCGGGGGACTTTACAAACATACATGAAACGGACACAAAGAACACCCAGACTTAGAACAACAGATTTGTAGATCACACAAGTGACAGTGAAGTGACAAGTGTCGTCCCATGTGGGGTTTGAAACCACAACACTAGGCGTAGTAGGAAGCGGCGTGGCGACCGCTTAAACCACTACGCAGTGTATAGTTATTTGAAATGTACGTACGTACTACGTGCAGTCTTATAGTTATTTAAAATGAATAGAAATAAAGAAGAGAAGAAAATAATTGAAAATGTTTAGATATTTAAAATTTACAAATAAACGACTTTAATTTTTAAATGTTTATATACCTCATCATCACACCGCATCTATTAAATTAGTTTTGTGATTCGTCTTAATTGTAAGAGTCATTCTCACAGTCTCCAAAGGTAACCATCAAACCTTTTAAACTACAGAGCGAACTCAAATAACTACTCTCTAGCGCAGTCCGTTAAAAAGGAGTTCCAATATCCACCACATAAAGGATAGAACAAAATAACCATCACCTGTGATTTTAAAAAGCATGCATCGCAACTGTGACTTCAAAATCACTGCGACTTATAATTATGATTACGCTAGCGCCAGACTCGCGTAAGGTCTAAAAGTTCATAGCCTTTAATAGTAAGATAAAAAGTTTAAATAATTTTTTTTTGTAACTAAACATACTTGAATATTTCTAGACGTATTGATAGATTACACTCAGAAACAGAACAAATGATCTCGCTCAAACAACAAACCTTTAATGTCGTTGTGCGTCAAATGTCCGAAAATTAATATACCTCACACAACTCACACACGGCCGTCTGATGCAAAACTAGGTAGGGCCTGTGCTATGGTAACCAGACAGCTGATAAACATACTTATATATTTCTAAATACATACATATTATAGATAAATTATACCCAGACACAGAGCAAATGACCGTGCTTATCACAATTATTTGTCCTGGGTGGGGACAGAACCCACGACCTACGGCTTAGCAGTCAGGATCACTAACCAGGACCCACAGGACTTTTAAATTATTATTACTTCTTTTACAAAGTTTTTTGCGCGTTTTCTTAAAAAGTGTACAAAAAAATCTCCTTATCCTTAGATAAAAAATAAAACCCATAGATAAAAAATAAAACCCATAGATAAAAAAAAGTTTCAATTGAACTTCAAACTCTAGTCGACTAAATGATCAGGAAACAAAACGAATGAATGAATAAATTCTAAATCGTAATGCCTAACTTCCTGCCTATTGTGACATGTAACATAAATATCTATACCTAGTCTTTTTATTCAGTTTAATCTCTCATAGAAGATGAACAAATACAATTGTTACAAGTAAATAACAACTGCACAACATAAACAATGAATGCATTAAATTTTTAGTACTATTTTTAAACTTACGGAAGGGACTGGACCCTACGACACAGGAAATCCTAGTGTGGGGGCGGGAGATATTTAGTTTTAATAGCTAAGTACTCTCATGAAATTTGTATATAATAATATGTTGTGGACAAATTTTTTGTAAAAAATAATAATAATAATAATTAAATTGTATACATATAGCCTCAGTGGTCGTAACAGATTTGTTTGTTAAGTCTTTAAAAAGAAGGGCGGGAAGTGTTTTCTCTTGTGATAGGGCCTGATTAGGCATGGTGTTGATTCGGGAAGGACCTGAAATGACATGGTCTGGGTCCTTACAGAGTAGTGCGCCTGACTGGCCTTCGGGGTGGTTTTTAGTGGAATCACTACATACTAATGGCTCCTGAGTCCCTGAGGAGCAGAAGATCCGAAGGGATCCCGTGAACAAAAAAAAATTAGTCTTCAAGAAGAATCGAATTATAATTTTTTGTTTAGGAGGCAAAGGAGCAATCGGATCACCTGATAGTAACTACCCATGGACATATGCAGCTCAAGAGACACAAGTGGTTTAACGCCCTTGGAGTACACCCTCACTCCCCCTCCATGAGTTATGGGAGATAGAGATTAGGATTCCAGAAACCTCGCTCACTTCGTGAAAAGCAACGAAAGAATTACTTAACACAGGTTATTCTGTAAGATTTGAGAGGAGCAAACTACGCAGGACAACAGCACTGCAGAGAAGGAAAACTTGAAACAAACCCTATACCAACCCGTCTGGTCAGCGTGGTATAGTAGGCCAAAACCTCCTTCCTAAGGAGAGGCCTATGTCCAGCAGTGGACTAGTAAAGGCTGTTGATGATAAAAACAAATTCATATATAATAATAATGTACTATAATATAATATTTACTAAAATTGATTTAATACGTGAGCAATAACAGAAATACCTACTTAGTTCTATTTACTCAACTACATTTCAATATGATGATAGAATGTTTGCATTTCTCTCCTAATGTTGCCGTGCCCGACAGGGTCCATAATTGTTTCTTTCTACATTTATAAGTGTGTACGGATTAAGAATACGGAATGTCCACCCCTATTCATCCTGTGGGGCCCGTCTGGCCAGCGTGGTACAGTAGGCCAAAACCTCCTTTCTAAAGAGAGGCCTATGTACAGCAGTGGATTATTATAGGCTGTTGATGATGAACATTAATAAGACTTGTGTATAAATTATGGAGTGCAATAAACGAATTGAATTGAATTGCTTTTCACTAGTGTCACACTCTCAAAGGTCTGATAAATAATTAACTTCGATTGCTCCGTTTATCAGCGGTGCTGAAGGTAAACCAGTGCAAACAACAGGTATCTTATCGTCAAAGGTATAACTTATATACTTATGTTTATTGTATATAAATTATATTGTTTTGACACATCGGACAAATGCTTAAGACTGTGTAACATGAGGTAAAATTACTGTAGCTACATAAATGTTTAGTAAATATAATGTCCGTGTGGAAGTGGCGTGCAATGGGAGAGGCCTATGTCCAGCAGTGGACTGCGATAGGCTGATGATGAAGTGGTGACGGATTAAGAATACAGAGTGTCACCATCCCTATTCATCCCGTGGGTGTCGTAAGAGCCGACTAAGGGAGCAAACTACGCAGACCAACAGCACTGCAAAGAGAAGGATAACTTGACACAAACCCTATACCAACCCGTCTGGCCAGCGTGGTATCGTAGGCCAAAACCTCCTTTCTAAAGCGAGGCCTATGTCCAGCAGTGGACTATTAAAGGCTGTTGATGTGATGAAATATAATTTCAGAATTGATAACACAGTGATCACTATGCAATACGGCAATACGCTTGAAATATTTTAAAATGTGGGTCGACCGGCGTCGCTGAGGAAATACTCAGCCGATCTCCATTTTAATCGTGGCCCTGCCAAGCCTTAAGCTCATTCCCTTCTGCGACCCGTACTATCGTCCCGATTGCCACTAGGTGCGAAACTTGGTGTGTACAAACTGCGCGTAGAAAGCCTGAATGACTCCTGAGCCCAAACCTGCTCGTTCGTGCAACCTGCGAAAGCTCGCGCACTACCATCTGCGACCTCGTCTCCGTGAGAACCCCTACGGACCAAGACTACGGTGGCTCGAGGAGGCCACGTACCCCATGTCCGTCCTATTTATTGGAGTGGTCATTAATGTATTGACATCAACAGGCCGTTAGTTATGGTAGATCATTATGCCGACTAAGGGAGCAAACTAAGCAAGACAACAGCACTGCAAAGAGAAGGAAAACTTGAAACAAACCCTATACCAACCCGTCTGGCCAGCGTGGTATAGTAGGCCAAAACCTCCTTTCTAAGGAGAGGTCTATGTCCAGCAGTGGACTAGTATAGGCTGTTGATGTGATTATGCCAATAGTTGTGTAGTGGTTGGTGGTATTTAAAAGTTTACTAGTATTTCTTATGGAGCAGTGTTTTAAAAAACCGCACGCCGTTTCGGGTACCAGTAGCCAGGCAACCAGGTGTACCCTAGAAAGGAAATCCCTGGTGCCCCGACGTACCTTGGGGCATCTACGGCGGGTAGATGACCCCCTCCTGTGTGGGAACTCTCATGTTCCCTTGGTGCTCCCGAAAGGGCGCGCGCGCTCTGCAGCGCATCTCGCCGCCACCCCGGATTTTTAATACACCCTCCAAAATTACCGTCAGATTTTTGGCTGGTATGACAGGAACATCAAGCTGTATAAAATCTAATCCGCTCGGATATTTGTAATGGCGATTTTTCGAATTTGAGGTTTGTATTTTCGATAATTCGCTACCATCTTGTCACTTTGAAATCGTCAGACCTTTTAATAGGAGCATTTTTGGCGTCCAAATAACATATCCCCAAAATATCTAACGCCCCAGAATTTAGTTATTTTTGGATTTAATCCCCCTACATTTTTGAAAACCTGTAGAAGTTTTTCCCACCCCTGAACATGTAAAACATTTTATAACTTTTATTCATTCTATTACCTAATCTTTTAAATGCAATCGGTCCCCATGATGCTCACGTAAATCATCCATTTAGCATCATGGGCTCCCCTACTATGAACCTTACTAAGGAATCACACAATCTTTTGGTGAAAACAGTACAAAAAGCCGTTAATTTTTCAGTTTGTCATGTTCATAGAAATAGACAGACGCGGCCTGGGGGACTTCAATTTACAATATGTGTTTATAAGTATTACTAAGATTAGCATATTACCGATTTAATTTTCGGTCACAATACAATATACTCACATTACAGTCAACGTTGGATGTTTAATACTTTACTACGAAAACATCTTTTGTGACAGTTGTGAGATCGAAAGTTGATCGGAACTCTATTGAGACCAAACTTTTATTCTGAGTAAATATTTAATGCAATTTATGGCACAGAATACTAATTCATTTTTTTTAAATAAAAGTAATCGAACTTACTCCTTATAACATAAGCTATTTACCAGTGAAAGTTCTGTGAAAATCAGTAAACCAGTTCCTAAGTTTATCCACAAAAATATGAACAAAATTAAATATTTATACACAGCAATTCAATTTTACAATTATCGTCTTTTATTTATTTTTCTTTTGATTAAAAATGTGCAAAATTATTTCTTTTAATTACATATTCTTTTCAACATTATTTTGTTCAAATATTTGACTTTTATATAGGTCATTGTAAATATAAACTGCTAATTCAAAATATATCTGTATCTACAGATTAGATAAGAAAATTAGTCAATCTGAGCATGGCTCTCAAAGGTCTACATGATAGACCTATTTGATTGAATAATAAAAAAAAATGTATATTGGTTTATCTATGATAAATAAATTATGAGCAGGATGATATAACATACATTGCTTTCTTAGTATTCAATTATTATGTGTTTTGTTTGTTTACATGAAAGACTTTTGCCAACACTATTTTACTTCTAGAATACAATCCTATAAAAACCTAAAACACTTACGAATTATGGAAAATTGACCGAAATCTAATTCATAAACTATAAGTTTTTTTTTTATAAGTTTATGCAAATCTAGATAGATTATCATAAAGGAAACAAAACTGACTAACTCATTACTTTTCCCCCCTACTTCACAAACCAAACACAAGTTAAAACTGTTTCGCTTAAAAACGGTACCGAGACGCCTACTTATATGACTTGTTAAACAAATACAGAATAAAAGTTATAAGAAACGGTGAGGCGAAAGATTAAAAAACCAGTTTCGCAACTTCGATCGTGTTTACCTTCAGATATAATAAAAAGAATAATAATAATACTACCTATGTGATGTAACGGCACTTAAAAGACAATTATATTGACTGATTTGAGCCTTTAAAGTAATTAATTGCTAGCTTTTTCGTAAAAATATGTGCTGTAAATAAAATTATTTACAAATGTTTTAAGATATTACATCGATTTGTATTTCAAAACTTACCGGAAAATAATATTGTCGTGTCACTGGTTCACTAGCACAATTTACTTGTAAAACAACGTGGAAAACTGGGAAATTACAGACTTTCAATATAGCAAAATATAACTGTACGAACTACGAACGAGAACACAGGCTATATATGACAAGTCAAAAATACAGATAAGAAAAGTACACATTATACAGAGCTGTCCCGGCAATAAACTTTGAACACGTATGTGGTTCTTTCGATTTTCTCTTTCGGTAGAACGAATGACAGAAATTGTATTTATTACCCAATGATACTATATACAAACAAGAGGTAGATACGCCAGCAATGCACAAAAAGCGTGGGCCCTTTGAGACTAGGGATGTGAGATTAATGGAAAAGAATCGATTAAATAAAAATCGATTTTTCTATATTAAAAATTAATCGATTTGCCAAAAATCGATTTTAATAAAAATAAATAATCGATTTTTTTATATATTATAAAGTATATGCTTTCCATATTCCAATAATAAACCTAAGAGATTCATATTAACTATTTATCAGATTAAAAGTAAAATAAAATTATATGAATAAAAAAATAACCTATTCGAAAAATTTCAAAGTAGGGAATTAGGAAACTAAATAGCATTATTGATACTCATTTTAGTACTATGAAACGTTTTATTTATTATAATAAAAATGAAATGACGAGAATTTTTTATTTGACTAGTTTTAAAATAAAACACTTAAAATGAGAATTAAAAAACTAAACGACTACTCTTCATCAACAGTCTTTGATAGTCCACTGCTGGACGTAGGCCTCTCCTTAGAAAGGAGGTTTTGGCTTTGGTTACTCTATAGTCTCAAAAACTAAACTAAATTACAAATCATTCGTTAATCTTTAAGTTTAAATAATAATTATTGTCACAAATGTCCAGTCCTATTTTACATTTGACTAGTATTAAAATTAAATACTTAAAAGGATCATTATCAATCCTGAACAACTACGTTATAGTCTCTAAAACTAAAATAAAAAACAATCTTTCGTTAATCTGCAAGTTTAAACAATAATAAAATTAAAAATAATTATTTCCACAAATGTGCAGTCCTATTTTACATTGACTAGGATTAAAGTAAAATACTTAAAAGGATCATTATCAATATCCTGGACAACTACGATATGGTCTCAAAAACTAAAATTTAAAACAATCTTTCGTTAATCTTCAAGTTTAAACAATAATAAAATTAAAAATAATTATTACCATAAATTTTCAGGTAAGCAGTTTAAAAACAATAATTTTGATAGTCTCTTTCCTAAAATACGGTTTCGTGTTTTCCTGACCACATTTCCCGCTTTGGAAAATAATCTTTCGGACGGAGCAGAAGTGGCCATCACAGAGAGATGCTTTAGGGCCAATTCAGTTAGTTTAGGAAAAGTCCCTTCAGAGCTCTTCCAGACATTGAGAGGATCTACCGTAAGATCCGATAGCGGTGCCGCAACGTATAGGTCCAATTCGGTATTTTTGACATTTGACGAGTTAGATGCCATTATTTTTTCATGATGTACCTGCCATATATCTTGTCCGCCGACCGTCGCTTTTGATGAAGCAGATGATTCAGAACTAGACGCTCCCGAATTGTCACTAGTAATCCAGTTTAAATACTCAAACTCAAACTCAAACTCAAACTTTCTTTATTTCATAAAATTTTCAAAATTGTTTGAAATCGTCTTCCATGTAGACTCTAAAGTCATAGATCAACACACACAAAAGCAACAATCTCTGTTTTGTCAAATAGTTCTTGGTATAATTTATTGTTTTTGATAAGGATAGAGGGTCATCATCTAAATGAATTTTTTTGAATCTAGGATCCAAAAACGTTGCAACCGAAAAAAGGTGCACTTTTTGGATGTTTTCGAATCTTTTATTAAATTCCGATTGCAAGGAATGTTTCAATTGTTTTGCCAAATCACTTGTTGGCGTAATTGTGTCTAACACAGTTCTCAAACATTTGATAATAGGTATAGCTTTGCTAGAAGTTACATATTTTTCGGCACACATTTGTTCAGTGACGCTATGAAAAGGCTTTAAAAACATTTCAATTTCTTTTAACACGACAATTTCATTTGCTTGAAGCATTGGGGGCGCATTAGGGTGGTTTATCAAAACAGATCCTATATTGCTGCTCATTAACACGAAACGCTCAATCATGTAAAGTTGCGAGTTCCACCTTGTTGATACGTCCCCTATCAGATGTTTTAATTTTCCCTCGGCAACATTTTGAAGGGTTTGCGTTTGTCTCAATTCCTCAGCGCCAACACCACTTTGGTGGAACCAAGTTACTATTTTTCGGACCTTATCCAGGAAAAAAATAATTTCTGGTATATTTACTGAATTGTCTACCACTAAATTAAGGGTATGAGCAAAGCACCGAACATGCTTAGCTCGACCAAAAGTAATCTCAATGGCTTTAACGATGTTACTGCCATTGTCAGTAGTAATACTTACAATTTTGTCGTGGGACAATTCCCAAACATCACAAATTTTAATAATCATTTCTGACAAATACTCTCCTGTATGATTATCGTGAAGTGGTTCACATGCAATGTTAATTGACTTCATTTCATAATTTTCTATGAAATGTAGTGTTACGCCTAAAAAACTCCTTAACTGCATATCTTTCCATTCATCGATTGTAAGGGAAACGTTTTTAACTAACCGTAATTTTTGTATGACAAGGGCTTTTTTTTCTTCATATTTAGTATCTACGAGGTCTGTGATAGTTTTACGGCACGGAACCTTGTACAGAGGAGCTACAGTCTTCAAAATGTGGTGTGGCTAGTATGTTTTTTATTATTTTTTCTATTTTTTATGTTTCACTTCATTTTCTCTTGTATTCGTTTGTTCTTCTTAATCTTGTTTTCTCTTCGTTGTTTTTTCACCTTTAAGTCCTTAATAACGGACATACTAGCACACATCAAAACAATGTTGTGATATATTTAATAGTGCCATTGTATCTACTTGTGAATTGCAAAAGAGTGGCCATGAGTTTGTTTGCCCTTTCTTCTCATAAGGCTCAACCCCTTGGAAACGGGCGGTTGTAGATCGGCACAGGCATATCATAGATTTTGTATGGGTTTGATTTTGTTAAATTTATTTGGTTACTATTTGACAAAACAGAGATTGTTGCTTTTGTGTGTGTTGATCTATGACTTTAGAGTCTACATGGAAGACGATTTCAAATAATTTTGAAAATTTTATGAAATAAAGAAAGTTTGAGTTTGATTAATTTCTTGAAACCTAATCCTTCTACTATACTAAAGGGTAGACTGTCCCGGCATATCATTTCTGCTATGTTTTGAGTTATTTCCTTATTTTTATTTCCATCTGAGGCGTAGGCCAAATTTTTTGCAAAAGAAGCTCCGATACTTGATCTGGCACGTTTTGACGTTGAAGGTTCAGCTTCAATTTCTGTCGCTGGATGCATCGGTGCATCTTCATTGCCAGACATGCTAATATCTCGAACATCATCTTCACATAAGTTCTACAACAATAAAATTAACAGATAATTTCACAAAAATAGAAATTACTTTCCGCAAAACTATTTTCTATTTCTGGCAACACTAAAAGAAACGTCTACAAGTCAAGTTTGTCTTCCATAATTGAAATTGGCTAAATGTACAAGAAGTGCGAAGCCATATCCGAAGAAAAAAAAAGTTTGTCTTTGACATATTGTCATTATCACAACAATATAAACAAAATTTTCGTAACTACTCAAAATAAGCTATGAGCAGATCAGATACTTACTAAAAGTAACTTATCTTAGTTTGTAATAACTTATTGATGTATTTACAAACAAATAAAAAGAAATAACACATATTTTTTATTGAAAATGTTGAGGTTATAAAACGTACGACTCGCATGACAGATGTTTTTAGTTTTATTGAACGAATTTACAGACACCAGTATTTTGCTGTCGGACAACAATAATTATTATAAAATATAGTAAATCATGTTACCTGTAAGACACCGGGATGTTTTCGTTCTATGTGCTGTTTTAAATTCGTAGTATTACTACAAGTTTTTAATTCTTTCGAACAGTACTTGCATATTGCTGTGGTATTATCCTTCTTCGTTAAAAAATACTTTCGCCAGCCGCTTTTAGGTGTTTTACGGTTAGAAGACATTTTTATTGTTTACCAACAACGGCAACAACTTTATCTCACTCACCACTACACTGAAACTACTTTACACGCAAACATACATGCCTACAGATGGCGCCGTTATTATTTAATCAATCAATTTTATTCGAGATTTTTGATCCAACGCATAGATGGCGCTGTTTTTAAAATTGAAACATACTGCAAGATTTTGTCATTCGTCGCATAGATACGAGCTGTTTCTGAAAATCGATTTAAACACGTAATTTATATAATCGATTTACTAAAAATCGATTAACATTACTATAAAAATCGAGAATAAAAAATCGATTATAAGAAAATAATAATCGATTTCAATAAAAATCGATTATTTTTTAACATCCCTATTTGAGACCACTGCCAGCGAGCGTACGTACTAATTAATTCGAGAAAATCCATAAAATGCCTCCCTGTGTATTCCGAAAGTGCACAAATTACGACAAAAAGGGAAATAAAGATAAATGAATATCATACCACAGGTAAATGTATGTTTTTTCTAAAATTCATAATGAAGTATGTACGGTCACAGCATACTACGTATCTTCCTTACAATATCATTGTGATTACCTATTTAAAGTTATCGAATCTAAGGTTTGTCAATGTCTGAGGCGTGAAAGCACTACTAAAACACAGAAGCACTAACTACGAGTCTATGAGGACTGTTTTATGTGACAGAAAGCGGGATGCCTACATGTGTGCTGATAGTCGATATTACTCGATACCAAAATAAATTGACAAAAACCAACACAAGTGTTAAAATTCATTTTTTGCAATTAATGACGAACTGAATAAGGAAATAATTGTTAATGGTAATGTCTGGACAGTAAAGATTCAAGAGAAAAATATCAAGTTTGAACAATTCCTTTTATATTCGCATGCATTTCAGACAAAACCAAGAAATATTAAAAATCTAAAGTAAAAGCGACCCTATTAGATTTATTTACGAGACACTAAGAATCTAACAACCAACATCCCACCAACAACTTTCTATTGAATTTATTTAAATATCTAGATCTTATATAATTTATATCTTGTAAAGAAAGATCATAAATCCAAAGAAACAACAAAGAACTCAAGTCAACAATGGATTTATGAATGTTTCTATACATCACTCAACAATGTCGGATTTATCCCTAAGGCAACGCAGGCATGTGCAGAAATTTTAAACAAAGAAAAAGGGAATTGAAATTTTTATGGCAGACAAATTGCCTACCATAAAAGGAATTGTGTCAGTAAGTACCTATCCACTAAACTACACAGAATACAAAAAAATCTTCAATTCTATAGAGATCTTTCAGATTGACATCTAGCGTTTACATTACGTTATTGCCACGTTATTGCCACTACTTCTTTACTTTATTGCTCTAATACGCATGAAGACTGAGGCTAGTGAGTGCACACAAAAATAAAGTCACTACAACAGCAACTTTTCTTTTTTTTTTTTGTTAAAAAAGACAACTCTCTACTCTCTGTAGTTGAGGTTACTCTTTATGTTGTATTAATTATCGCGGGGTTATCCACTCAATGGCACTATACGATACGCTGGTGTGGGCGGAGGCTCTGATCGCCCAGAACCGCACCTCTGACGTCCTAAGAGGGTAATGCCGGCTAGAGCCATAGGAATATAGAATTATGAATAAAGCCATATAGAATTTTGGAGCAAAAGTCTCAACTGACCTCTCAACCGTTGGATTCTGGGCGGGCAGAGATAGTCAGCCTCCTCTCGTACGTGAGAGGCACGTAAGGGCGCTCGCCGAGCCACGATGGCTCCTTGGTTGTCACGGACTGGACTGGCTGGCCCACATGCTGGCATTGCCACCGTAGGTCGCTCTTGATACTTAATCCTCCTATTAAGTGGTATTCATATTCACATAAAATGTTTGCTTTTATTTAGATACTATTCTAGCGATCCACAACGGCAACGTAGATACTACTAATAAAGTGTCAGAGTGGAGATATTAATTGTAATATTATTATAATAAGACTAAACTACTGGACATCTTCATATGCAATATTTACAGAAAAGGAATGTATATGTATTGTTCAAAATAGCTTCCTAAATTATTCATTATTTTTTGTAATATGTTAAAGATAAAAATGGTTATTGTAAGTTATCCTTAGGAGGAAGGCGTATCAGGCATATATCATTACGGACTTTTTAAGATGAAACAATTCAGTCGTACCTGCATTATTTTGATCTATAAGTTTTTGCCAGGGTTTGCGATATAAGCGCAGAAAAGCATGTTTTTACGACTTCACATTCGAATTTCCTCTACTATTATATGCATATTTTATACATACAAACCCGACTCTTTATTCATTCTTTCTATTGTTGAAAACCGCATTAAAATCCGTTGCATAGTTTTTAAGATCTAAGCGTTCAAGAAAAAAAAGCGACTTCATTTTACACTATGTAAAGATAAAGATTTTGGAGATTCCCGAATAATATTGGACCTGGTAGTGGAGTTCTTAAAATTAGTAAAGTAAGTGTCCTGTGACATAGTAAAAAAAAGTTGTTAAATTAGATTGGCGACCATTGACGACCAGTGCAATCTGTTTTCTGGTTTCTCGGATCAGTAGGTGTGTTGCGATATTATTTCTAACAGGCACTGCGGTACACATCTCTTTTCTATTTTCGTAGTCACTGCTGCACTTGTAATGTTTAATAGACTTTCTCAATAAAAAGGTACCTTAAAACAAAAAAGTGGTGCTTATGGCTGTTAAGATTATTAATACGTGTTCGCGTCGTAAGGTTTTCAGCTTCATGGAAGTTGTGGCAGCCACTGATATCATTTTTTTTATTCTGGAAAGATAAATGACCACAGTTTTGATAAGATAATAGCTTTAGAAAAATCTACCATTCAAGATAAGCAATCATAAGTAATGAATAAGTCTACAAGATTTATTAAAAGCTAGATATGTGTGACGATTCTTTTCAACTACACTATTAACTACCAATCTTTTAATTAAAATAAATAGCGTGTAGTAGTTTTTTGTAAATTTAATCTGGCAACCAAATCCGTACTGTCAAAAATTTTCGCACGCCATTGTGTGCGGAAGTTGCTTATTTTTCAAATAAAAATACTTATTTTAAACTAACAATAATCAAAATTTAACAGTTAAAATAAATTTGTTCATTCAAAATGGGTCTGCCAGGGTGCGGTATTCCGGAAGGTGATCTACCGCAGTGCTGGTTTGATGATGTTCGAATGAACGCACTTTTTGCACCTTTTCGGATAAAGACCACGAACCCAGAGTCCTGGGATATGAAAATGAAGTTTTGGTCAGATATGCTGCGGCAATGGTGTAAACATAAAAACGATCCTATAGTATCTGCAGCAGATGCTAAGGCTGTTTTTCACAGAAAAGGCAGAACACCAGCCTGCATAGATATTGTCGTAGAAGAAATGTTACGGTAAGTTTTTTAAAATTCCTTTTCTATATCTCTCTTTTCTACTCTTCAATTTTTCATTATGACCTTTGTTGTACATTTGAAGAAATTATGATCATTTTTTTTTGCGCCATTTTGAATTTTATCAGTTAGGTTTATTTTGTATGAAAACATTAAAATATTTGGAATTTGTGATAGCAATAGAACATATTGATGAGATCTAAGACAGATAGATAGGTTTTTAAGACGTTTTGACAAATATGTCATTTTTTTTTTGTATTTTTTTTTCATATAATAGCTTCCGCACTACGGCACTAATGTTTGTAAAGTTTTTTATGACTATATATTATATTCACAGACAGTATATGAACATAATGAAGTAAGTTCAGAACTCAACCATAATATCTCTTTTTGGGAATCAACATGGCACTGTTAAAGTAGTCAATGGTAGTTAACTGACTAGCAAGTCTTGCAAGTAACTTGAACCATGTGTCTTCTCTTTTAACAACGGACAGTCAACTCTCGCATAACGCTCCTTCATTGGTCAAATCAATTAGTGCACTTCCGGGCTTCCTACTACACTCTTCTGACCCCTTTTCACGACGTCACTTCCACAATTGCTGGAAACAGAGAAGGGGGTTTCTATACACCAAAAAATACAATATTTTTGATCAATTAGTTTGACTGCCATAAAGAGTTGATTGAAAGAATTTTATCTATTGCACAAATAGTGTGGTTTAAGCTGTCACCACCTCGCCTTCCTACTGCAGTGAGTGTTGTAGGTCCAATCCTCACTTAGCACAACACTTTGTGTAATCCACAGATTGTTGTTCTGTCTGGGTGTCCTTTGTGTTCGTTTCATGTATGTCTGCAGTCCCCTGTGACACAGGATATATTCCTAGTGCGGGAGTTATCTTTAAAAGAAAAAATAAATGTTCTGTACACTCATACATATAGGTAGAATTAAAACCATGGATGTCCAGCAAAAAATTTGAAAATTCATTTGACTAACTAATTTTGTGCATTTTGAAATTTCGAATATTTTCAACCTTTGAACTTAGAATAATTTTCAGTCATCTTGTATAGAAATGAGACAATTTCGGACTTGGAACTGCATATATCTTAAATGCTGATCTGATCTGTTTTATACCTCAATGTGTTTATTGCTCACAATCAACTTAATCAAAGTAAATTATTTACATTATTTATTTATCATACAAATAAAAAAATACAAGAAATATTGAAAAATTACACAACATACCACAAAGGTTTGTAGAGTTCTACAAAGACTGTAATTATCAGATATTTACAATAGTTTTTACATACGTAGATATATATCTCTGAAGGCAATCTGTTAGCATATTATGTCACTGTGAACTAGATATATACATATCTATATATATACTACTATATACTACATATATGCTATAGATATATACAACATCCTAAATGTGAATATCTAAACACAGTATAAAATAAAGTTGCTTTGTTTCTTGTATGTATAGTCCTTTAAACTACGTAACTGATTTTATTGCGATTTTCACCAATAGAGAGAGTGATTCAAATTGAAGGTTATCTTTACGTAATATAAAATAAAATCGCTTTTTTGCGTTGTACTCTTAGATCTTTAAAACTAAGCAACGGATTTTAATGTGGTTTTCACCAATAGAGAGAGTGATTCAAAAAGGAGGTTTATATGTATAATACATAGTAGAGAAATTCCCAGAAATTCCACTGCTGGACATAAGCCTCTACTTAAAAAGGAGGTTTTGGCCTATTAGAAATTCACAAATTTGTTGTAAAAAATACTACATTAATACTATACTTACATTACTTTAAAAACTTAGTTATGAAGGTTAAATAAAAAAGGTTTATTATTTTTTGCTTTTCAGTGTTTTCGGCGGTTTTTTTTTTATAAAGTTTTTATTTTATAATTTTTTGTTGCTATAATTACTAATTATTACATGCTTAATTATTGATTACATTTAAAATAGCTGCCTAACTTATTATTTGTAATACACAACTCAGCATTAAAATCTGTGAGTGAACAATATTTTCCCTTAGGTTAGGATTTTTTTTCCAAATTTATATGGGACCATTTTCAAGGTATACCCTATCCAATAAAAAAAGAATTATCGAAATCGGACTACTTTTTAAAAAGTTATGCGTGGTCATACATTGCAAACAGTGAGTGAACAATCAATCATCCGCTGTGTTACTACCCTTAGGGTTAGATTTTTTTTTCCACAATTATATAGGAATAACTTCTTCTACTCTGTAAAAAGTTATGCGTGTTCACCCATGAAGAATAATACGCGTCGACTTGAGAACCTCCTCCGTTTTTTCGTTGGTTAAAAAAAAAAAAAACAAAATAATGTACAGAAACAAAAAGTAACTTTATTTTATAGTATGTAAAGATGTGTGTTAATAATTGTGTAATTACCCCCATAATTAGATTAAAATTTTGTCCACAGCGATGGAGAACTCAGCCCCATATCAAAGTATCACCAGATACTCCACAATGGACCTGAAGGTTGGGTGAAGTGGGGTGCACGGCTGGCATTCAAACCAGCAGCATTTGCCCTAACAGCTGTAGCCTCCTTCCTTCCTACGAGACAGTCCTTGGATAGTGATGGGCTGCCTAAAGCTGGTATTGATTCTACTCAACGGTTTGTGCTGGAAAGTGCCGTTAAGGTAATTTTAATTTTTTAAACTAAACACCGACTTGATCTTACACAAAACTATAAAGTAGTTATTTTTGATGATACTTTCTGAGCCAGACTAATGATATCGGGACTATTCAGGCCCCAAACATAATCTGCCACCAGAGGACGCCGCTCTGGCGTCCCGCGGCTCCGTCGATGGCTGGTATCGCCGCCGACATCTCCTACTCTCAGGAGGATCGTGTAATTATGAGCGGCCTTTAGGGTTCGTCTGCAAAATACGATAATATCGTCGTGACACATTTTTCAATACACTCTTAGAACGTGTTTACGCACAGCGATGTGACCACGGTGATGTGACGAGTGGCTGAATGCGAGCGAAACATTATCGAATCGCTACTGGCGCTCGTTGTAGAATGTAGCGTTCTCGCAGTGAGAGTGCGACGCGCGCAGTTAAACGCGCCCTTTTCGGTATTGCCTGTCTGCCAAGCACGGACGTTACGTATTCATAAGTTTAAAAATAAATAGTTTAAAAGAATAAACCGTTAAAGTTTAAAGTAAGAGGAGACCTGTTCTTTATAATGTTCGGTGGCCAGAGTATTTGTAGTTTACGCAGATAGTTATATATATTATTAATTATTTCGCTCTCATCTGGCATCTAACTGAACTCTTTTAACAAAACTATTCCACAACGCCTGATCATGGCAACGTGTAGTCGTCTCGGATACGCGGCGATTGCTTTTGGAGTCGCGACGATACGCTAGCGGAATAATCACCCGCTCGTAGCGACCACCAGACGTTAGAAGCGTGGTTTCGTCGCGGCTCTCACACTTGTGGGGATGGACCCTTTAATGGGAATGCTACTAGGACGACATCATATGAAGTGTCATTCAAAAACATTGTGTTACTTCCCAGGAGCAAGCGACAGAACTATTACAGAATTATCCGTCAGATGCTGACCGTATTGGCACTATTGAAGAGCTCATGCGCAACTGTGACTGGACTCAGAGCAGGGAGACATTTGAATTGTTGCTCGGGTACCTCGTGTCACAAGGACATGCTGTAAAGAAAGGCGATGTAGTCAAAATAGGTGAGTTGGTTCTTCATGGTTTCTTAAACTATTGTATATCACGCTTTCACGCTTAAATCACTAGACGGTTTTTAAATATTCTTTCACCAATGGTAAGTTACGTTATCAGCGAGTAACACAGACATGTAAGTAATAAAGTTTTCCTTTCAATTTTTAACCTTAATTCCCAAAGTTTTTAACCTTAATTCGCAGCGAGGTTGCCTCTACTGCGCAAATAGTTGATCGTATTCACTTAATAGAGGTAATTATAATTGGCAAACTCAAAGGACGACAACGCACTTGTGATTCTTGAATTGCATGGGTCCATGGGCGACATGATAATCACGTATCATCAGGTGACCCGTCTGCTTGTTTGCCCCCTTATCATCATGATATCCGTGTGGTGACGGATTAAGAAGTGTCACCACCCCTATTTATTCCGTGGGTATAGTAAGATTAAGGGAGTAAACTATGCAGGACAACGGCACTGCAAAGCCAAGGATAATTTGAAACAAACCTTCTACTAACCCGTCTGGCCTTTTTTTTAATTAGACTGTCGACTGCTCGACATACGTCGTAAAGGCTTTTGCCCCTTATACAATTAAAAATACTAAGCATGTATAAATACTATCTTTTTTTGATGTCGGTTAATTTTGTTTGGACAGCGGAGGGCAACAAGAAAGTGTCCTCGGTGACGGAGTCGGACGAGGCGTGCGTGAAGCTCGTGTGTGCGGAGCGTCGACTCGCGGCGGACGCGGCGCGGCTGGCGCGCGACTGCGGCGCCGCGCAACACGACGCGGCCGCGGCGCTGCGCCTCGGGAACAAGCTGGTGGTCGGTATACCTTACAGCGGTCCACTGCTGCATGTGCCTCTCCGGCTCCCACCGCCTTTCCTGCCCCTTCAAGCAGAACAGAACTCCTTCACAGTCACAGAATGTACACGAAAAAAAGAACAACTGCGCTTAGAATCTACTTACACTTATCCCTTGATTTGGGGCGGGCGCAATGAGTTTTCTCCTTCCATTCTCCTCTAACACTCTCCAGTTCACTGCTAACTCACTTTCTAGCCATATCTTCTTCATGCAATCCTTCCATTTTATCATTGGTCAACCAAAACTTTCTGAACTACATTTTGGTCATCTCTAAGCATCACATGTCCACACCAGGATAACCTGTTGCTCCTCATCTTTTCAACCACTGGTGCTACTTTCAGGCTTCCCCTAATATGGTCATTCCTCAGCTTGTCCACTCTAGTTAAACAACACATCCGTCTTAACATTCGCATTTTAACTACTTTAAACACTTGACCTTGGCGTTACGTAGAAATGTGGCTTCACTCTACATTCTCTATCGCTTATATCATTGAAAGTGCTCGGAGGAATTGTTCGGATTAATACCAGCCGCAACTTCCCGCAAAATTTTCATCCTCATTACCTGGATAGTTGGCGCTCCACTACTGTGCACTTTTCGAGACACTTTTTGCCCCGCACAACCAATCTGTGGAACGGTTTATCGTCTGCGGTATTTCCGGACCGATACGACCTTCAAAACTTCAAGAAAAGAGCGTGCCCCTTCCTAAAGCCGGAAACGCGTTTGTGTCTTCTAAGGTGCAGATGTTCATAGGCGGCAATGGTCACTTTCCATCAGGTAATCCATCTGCTCGTCTGCCCCCTCTAACATAAAAAGTAACTCATACTTGACTACCAAAAGTTTGAACGTGAATATGATGTGATCAATTTTGTTATCCAGGCGAAGAATCATCTTCGACGGAAGCACAAAATCCAGCAGAGACTCGACCGGTGCACCGTGGCCTTGGAAAATGTACAGCAGCTTCTCCAGCAGATGAGAGAAACTCACGTCAATGTGGCCATCGTTGATTCTTACAGGTTTGTTTATTCTTCCTCCGGGGCTTATTCCAAAGTAGGTTACGGTCGGCTTTAATTCTACTACGATACGGTTGAACTTCGATGTTTGACGAGACCCAAGTACTAGACGACATCGAAGTTACCGTGGAGAGCCATGCTTTGGCACGAATGGGCCGTCTCGACCGGATTGATACCACGGCCTCAGAGAAAACCGGTGTTAAGCAATGCTTTCGTTGCCTTTCACTGAGTGAGGTTACCGGAACCCAAATCCCGCTGACTCGAGCGGGAGGGACTCCAAGGGCAGCAATGCACTTGTGACTTTTGAGTTGTCCATAGGCGGCGGTAGTTGCTTACCATCAGGTGACCCGTCTGCTCGTTTGCCCCCCTTATACCATAAACACGTTTGTTACCCATATAATATCCCTACTTTAAAAGTACTAGAAGTAGAGATATATTTTATTCTACCTCTTTGTCGGCGTGATAAATATGTATAGTCCGATGCAAACACAATGGCGGCTCGGAAGATCGTGCGTTTCGTTATAATAATATAATAATAATAATAATAACTTTTTTATTGTATAAATGAGATTGTAGGTTTACACAATTTTACATTTATTATGATGAGTTTGTGTTACAATTAGAAGTCTACAATAATATCGTGGTTGAGTGCTGTTTTCCCAGCTAGGCTACATAATAGCCTGTGTTTGGGAATTTCGTTGCGCAGAACATAATAATAGACAGCAGCGGGACGTACAGGAGCGCGGGGCAGGGCGACACACGACACACGACACGCATGCCTTTTACTGTGTGAGTTACATCCGTACGTATAGTCGAGTCGACTTGACTGTAGGTACCTGCGCACACCTGTGTCCGCAGCTAACTTCAGAGCCGCCATTCAGTTTGCAGCGGATTATAATAATATGTTCATGCAAAATTACAGGTTTATATAGTGCGGACGGACAGGACGAAACTACAAGGGTTCCGTTTCTGCCATTTTGGCCATACCATAAAAAAAATACAAGGTAAATAAAATGTAAAAATTACACTTTTAAAGCGTTTTATTTAATTTCAGAACGGGTTCTGAAGCAATGAAGCAGAATATGAAAGAGAATGGTCTCACAGAGGATGCTGTTCATGACACCATGGATGACTTGAAAGAGGCAAGTCTACACATTATAGTTTAAAAATAATAATAGCGCAGAAAAAGTAAAAGAACGCCAGACGGATGGCGTAGTGGTTTAAGCGGTCACCTCGCCGCTTCCTACTAACCTGGTGTTATGGGTTCGATCATCACATGGGACAACACTGTGTGTTCACAAATTGTTGCTCTGAGTCTGAGTGTTCTTAGTGTCCATTTCATGTCAGTTCGTAAATACCCCTGCGTCACAGGATATGTTCCTAGTACGGGGCTTCTTTTTAAACAAAAAAAAACAACACTAATCATGAATCGCGCAATGATAGTTTTCGTACCGATTAGTATATATACAACTCCCCAATATCAACTGTTAGGCCGCGATCCGCCAGGCATCATCAAGTCGTTTCGTCGGAGGATCCTCCCTTTGTGTTGGAAGGACACGACACCCATACCACCACAACGGTACAAGTCCGTTTAAATTGACTTCCAAGAGATTTGTTCACATAGTTACAAATGGAGCTATAGTCCATTTAGATTAAAAAGTCCATTCAAATTAATATACACTATTAATATGTATGTAAATAAGGGTAGGTAGAGAGACGTATAGTTTTTTTTTTTTGTATTTTCTAAGGCTTCTGTTTAATTCTTAATTTTTCTGCTTAGGGGTCTGTACATAGGGTAGATAATCTACCCAATGTAGATGTTATATTTAATAATGAGAGCAATCTACCGTACCTGGACCATAAATGGTGGCAATATACTTGCATCTCCATGAGCGGCGGTAGACGCTTACCATCAGATCCCCGTCGGGTACGAGTAGTTTCAACTAGTACTCGTACCCGACGGGGATCCTTACTCAGGGAGGAAACCGTCCTGCTGATTAGGTGTCAGGCTTGACATTCTCTGTTAATTCATGTTCATCGACTCATTCATTCAACCATTAACATTTCTATGGTTTCGTAGGTAATGGACACGTATAATGAAGTGGAGAAGGCCCTCGGTACCACAGTTGAGGACTTCGATGCTGCAGACCTCGAGGAGGAGTTGAAGGAGCTACTTTCTTCTCCCGGGGGACCCAGCGGTGGCACTCCGGGCAAGGAGGAGAGGAAACACCGTGAGTTTGTTTTTATACATTTATATTTGACTGCGATCTATCTAAGCACAGCAAAAAATAAAGTTCTAATAGGAGGACTGGTTTCTTGGGCTAATGATTAGTGACCCTGACTGCTGAGTCAGAGGTTGTGGGTTCGATTCCCACCCAGGCCAAATATTATGTGATAAGCATGGTCATTTGTTCTGTGTTTGGGTGTAATTTAGCTATAATATGTATGTATTTATAAATATATGATAATAATAATAATAATATGATTTATTTCACAAAATGGCACAAAAATACACAAACAGCGTAACGAACACGATATTCACAGTATTTACGATAAACTCTGGTACCCAGAATAAGATTCAACTTGTGTTTAGGGTACCAGCAATCTAGCGCACACCATAAAAATACGTCGCTAATACTTGTTAGACATACACAGCGTTTATATAAAAACAAAATACAAAACTAATAGACAAATAAGAAAAATATATAAATGGTAGAATAAATAAACTTAGGTGATATGTGCATGAGTACGTTTATCTCTCATAGCACAGGATCTGCCCAGTAAGAGGTTGTTATTATATTATTAAATTGTTCATGTACAGCAACACCTGCCAATAAAGCACGGAAGGCGTTAGAACGAGACTTTGTGTTCGACTGTGAAGAGCGTATGTTGGCCGAACTGAACGACCTGGATGTGGAAGAAGGCAGTCCTGGCACTAGGAGCAAGAAGGTGCCTGTGGCTGAAGCTGAGGCTGTCGCGGTACCACGTAAGTATCTCTCTATATCACACTAGCTAGGGTCCCTGGCTTTATGCAGGTTGTCTAAAAGTTGTCATCTTCAGTTTTCATTACTCGATCGTTACGGTGAGTGTGTTCTTGCGATTGGTAAAGATTTCAGTACAGGACAATCGTATCGCCGTACGTACGCGTTCAACGTGACGATCGGAATGATCTATACAAATAAATAAAATTGGAGTGTCTGTTTGTAATATTAAAATAACCGCTTTCTACTAAATGTATATGTATGTTTACACGGTACATATGCCAAAATAACATTTTTTACAATTTTGGTCTGTCTGTCGGTCTGTCTGTTTGTTCCGGGACTTTCACTGGCAGATAGCTGATGACATAAGGAGTAACTTAGGCTACTTTTTTTTTTAGACCAGCTTCACCCCGCGGCGTTGCCCGCGGTTATAACAACAAACGCGGGCAACACCGCGGGTCTCAGCTAGTTTGAAATAAACTTGCGTGAGTGTCGTAAAAGCCGACTAAGGGAGTTGTAGTAGTTGAATAGTTAATACTTACTACTAATTAGATTATACTTATTCTTAATCCGTCACCACGATTGGTTTTAGTCACTGCGATTTCACCTGTGATTGTGATTTGGTTATAGACAAAGATAGAAGCAAGGCTCTCCCATGGTAAAGACTAGACCCCCTGATGAATATGGAAAAGGCGCGAGCTATATGCCAGGATGTTGGCAAATGGTATTCTAAGTTTGGACTGCATGGATGGCGTAGTGGTTTAAGCGGTCGCCACGCCGCTTACTACTGCTCTGAGCGTTGTAGGTTCGATTCCCACATGGGACGACACTTGATCCACAAATTGTTGTCCTGAGTCTGGGTTTTCTTTGTGTCCGTTTTATGTGTTTTTTTTTTTTTTTTTTGGGACTAATTCCACCCACACGCCCATCACTGTAACTCCTGTACACCAGGATCCACAGCAGTGACCCACGAACACACCGAGTTATGACACTCGGGAAGTCCCAGGAAGAAATTAAACTGTCTTGGAACCCGCAACGAAATTAATCAGAAGAAAATTGGAGGAGTTGGAAAAACAGTAAATCCACTTCCCTCCTTAGCAAAGCGGGAGACAAAATGAAGTTAAATTGGCATACACCCTTTTAAACAGGGAAGCACCACGGCCACAAAATATTACGGGTCCTACATGAGCTATATTTGATTTCTATAATATGTATGGCAGAATCGCCTAAACGCACGGAAATTCACCCTAGTTGACACAAGATCCCCATAGTATACCGCCCCAGATGTCACCTGCAAGCTATTCAGCATTATATTACGTTCATTATACCAAAGACTACATTCCCAGAGGATATGATGAGCAGATTGTTCATAATGAGAGTTAGGTGTTAAGCTTTGACACAATGGTGACTCGACTAATTTATTTATGTTTGTCCCCCACGATACAGGATATATTCCTAGTGCGGGAGTTGTCTTTATTAAATAAATAAAAAAAAATAAGTCTCTGCCTACCCCGACTGGAATGTAGCGTGACTATTCTCGTGATAATAATGTCCTTTTTAACTTTTATTTATGTTTGTTCCCAGCATCCACCCCTGAAAGGAACAATTCTCCGAAGAGCAGTAAGCCGTCGAAGGCGTGGTACCCTCCGTCGGGCGAGTTCTCCCGCTCCAAGCCGTGGACCAACAACAACAACGAGTGCACGCTCGCCGACATCGCCGGGGGCTTCGGCGAGCTGAGGCTCGACGAACGACTACATCCAGGTATGGCTATGATTGACATGGTAATAGGGAATATGCACGTGACACCAAAATGGACAAAATATTTCAAGACGTCAACCTACACTGTCAAGAGTGTCAACAAGTTGTGTGTATTTGTAATATTTGGTTTCCGGTGATTATTTGTTTCATTTTAAGTTAATAACTAATACGTTTTCAGTGTTAAATTATTAAATTCCCGTGTAGAAAGACTCAACACAATGACTGAATATACTTTGTCAGGTGCAGTTTTGAAATTATTTGGGCACAAAGGAACGGCACAATATTTATAATAAGTTTTTATTGGCTTTTCCATGGTAACAAGTTAATTTTTATCACTCACTTTCATAAACTTTGTGAACTTCACTCCGTTGTTGACATCGAATTCGTCTGAAAGTGTAATCTGACGTCACAAAATAAGCGCGCCAAAATGGACGTGTTCAAATTGCCCCAAAATGATAGTGATTTTAATAAAAAAATTTTTGCTTAACGGTTTATATTTCGGATGTGTTATATTTATTTTTGGTAATGTAATAACTAGTAGAATCGTTTAAAAAAAAAAAAAATACATGCATATTCCCTATTATTGCTACCTTTAAATCATAATCATATGATGTAATTATTGCGAGTTAACCTGTGATTGTGATTTAGTCATAGATAAAGATAAATGCCATTCAAATCAATCAAAATTCTTTTTATCAAAGATTACGAGTTTTTTTATTAAATTTAGGCCTTTCGCGAGTCTGGCGCTAGGGTAATAATAATAATAAGTCGTAGTGGTTTTGTAAATTTAATTTGAAATCATATAATCACACAGGTGATTGTGATTTTATTCTATCCCCAGTTAAACCTAAATATTTGTAATACTATTAGTACCTAAAGATTACTTCGTGGTCACATTTTCATTGTTTATATGCCTTGTTTAATTGCCTTGACTTGTCATTGAATAGACTTTTAGTGCCATAACAGGTCAACATATATACTGGTGGGAATACTGGGATGAAAATTATTGTTACTTTTAAGCATAATCATATGATAAAATGATTGGTTTAAGTCAACGATTTTACCTGTGATAAATCTAATTTTGTGATAAACACTAAATCATCATGTGTTAATAGACATATATAAATGCCATCAAAAACTTAACCAAAGAAAACCTAAGACCTTTCGTGAGTCTGGCGCCAGCGTAATCACAATCATAAGACGCAGTGGTTTTGTAAATTAGTCACAGTTGTGATTATACGGCATATAAATCACTAGCTGACCCGCGCAACTTCGTCTGCGTCTCTCAATAGTAATAAATTTTCTCCGTTTTTGAAACATTCTTCATTGGTGCTCCCCTCCTATTGGTCTTAGCGTGATGATATATAGCCTATAGCCCTACTCGATAAATGGGCTATCTAACACTGAAAGAATTTTTCAAATCGGACCAGTAGTTCCTGAGATTAGCGCGTTCAAACAAGATACGATTTATAATAGGTGATTGTGCTTGTATTCTATCCCTACTAGACTTGTATACTGTTATGTAGCCGTTTTCATTTAGTTTTAACTTAATTTATGTGATTAAAAATGTTAGCCTTGTACACTTCCACATTTAAACATTAACTATTTCGAATATAATATCCTCCCGTGTGGTGACGAATTAAGAATACGGAATGTCACCAACCCCAACTTATCACGTTGGTGTTGTAAGAGCCGACTAAGGGACTAAACTACGAGACAATAAGCACTGCAGAGAGAAGGAAAACTTGACACAAACCCTATACCAACCCGTCTGGCCAGCGTTGTATAGTAGGTCAAAACCTCCTTTCTAAGGAGAGGCCTACGTCCAGCTGTGAACTATTATAGGCTGTTGATTAATTGATTGATATCCTCCCATGTGCTATGTTTGTTTAAAAAGGGGTATGTTTCGACATACATACATACATATCTTATTTTGACCACAAACCATATTAAAAAATATATATTTAATATTTCTTTAAAAGAGAGGTTTTTGCCTACTGTACCACGCTGGCCAGACTGGTTTGTTTCTAGATTTCCTTCTCTTTGCAATTCTGTTTTTCTGCGTAGTTTGCTCTCTTGGTCGGGTCTTACGACACCTACGGGATGATAGGGGTGGTGACATGCCGTATTCTTAATTCGTCATTTCTAAAGAGAAGCAGTGGATAATTAAAGGATGATGATGATTTAATATTTATTTATATTATAGAATATTAAAATACCCAATTCATCACACATGTAAACAAACATACATTACATTATTATAATTAATAGTATTTATCCACAAACATTTTCACTCATCCGACAATATCATAAAATACGGGTAGATGTGAAATCGATATTTTACGTTGCACCTACCACCACTACCATAGCTCGCTACCGCCGCGATTCTTGTATTCGGTGCTCCGAACTTAACCCCGATAAGCCTGCTGTCCCATATGTCTGCAATGCACTTTTAGATATACGTTTCAATGAAATATTTATAAAATATATTATAACTGCACCTTTTTAATTATTATTTCAATAGCACATTAGCTTGTCACTACAAATCCAAATACAAATATGTGCATAAGTTGAAATATTTTTTTTTATTTCTACCATCCTACATATGGGACAGTCGGCTTATCTGGGTTAATTTTACAATACCTATTGTAATATTATATGTGTATTCTCTCTGTTGTGTTCTATGTACTTCCTGCGGTTTTTACCGTTGTATTGTACCTTGTGACTATAAACTTTGTGGTCGCGTGAACATTGAATGTATTTCCATGAAAAGGATTGTTTGCTATCATCCTTAATCGTAAGTAATATTACACTCTAAACACCAGAGGTACAGATTATATTAGTAAACTAGCTGGTGCTCGCGATTTTTGCACTAAAAATTTTATAAGGTTTTTCTGAAAAAAAAAATAGCGTAGGTAACTCCTTACATAGGCAGCTACTTGGAAGTAAAATATTATCAGAATCGGTCCAACCGTTTAAATATTACCCGGAACAAACAGACAGATAAAAATATTTAAACTGGTTTTTAGGTATGGTTACCGTGCAAATGACCGTGTAAGCATGAAAAAAAATTCAATTATTTTGACATTACAAACAGACACTTAAATTTTATTTATTGGTATAGATAAAATATAGATATTCTAATAATATTATTATTATAATGGACTGTTCATTCATGATACTCGCGTTTGCAACAGTTCGGTGAAATATCGGAAACTAATTGCCGTAAATAAATATTCTAAATATCTTTATAACAACATATTTAAGAACTTTTTATTTAAGTATAGTTTACCTAATCACTCATTTCTACACCCACCCCAAGGTAGACTGACAGAGAATGCCTATTTTGCATTAAGTCCACCATTGTAGATTTTTTTATACATCATCAACAAACAACCTTTAACGTTCCACTGCTGGACATAGACCTCTCGTTGAAAAGAGATTTTGGCGGGTTGATATAGCTTTTGTTTTAAATTTTCCTTCTCTTTGCAGTGCTGTTGTCTTGCGTAGTTTGCTCCCTTTGTCGGCTCTTAAGACACTCACGGGATGATTAGAGGTGGTCACAAATACATATGCATTTAGTAGAAAGCGGTTATTTTAATATTACAAACAGACACTCCAATTTTATTTATTTGTATAGATTACAAACAGACACTCCAATTTTATTTATTTGTATAGTTAAATACATATCTTATATATAAAATTCTCCTGTCACAATGTTAGTTACCATACTTCTCCGAAACGGCTGGACCGATTATTATGAAATTTTGTGTTCACATCGGGTAGGTCTGAGAATCGGCCAACATCTATTTTTCATACCCACCCCTAAATTTTTTTTTTAAATATTTCCTAGAAATAATGTATATGGCAAAACAACGTTTGCCGGGTCAGCTAGTATTGTATAAAACCTTATTGACTTGGTAGAAAGTTTATGAACTGAGACTGCTTGAACAGAGAAGGAGACGATCATAGGACTCTCTTTCCTAAGATAAGCAGGAAACTTGGCTGTATCTTAGGAAAGAGTATCCATTTATTATAGGGCTTACAAAAAATTGGTTCATGGAGTGGGCGAACAAAGTACTTATGTTATTAAAGGATAGTGGCATTATATTTGGTGACCTTCAAACCTTCATGGGCGGCGATGGTCACTATCCATCAGGTCACCCGTCTGCCCCCTCTAACATAAAAAATAAATAAAAATATTTTGTTATATCGGGTAATGCTATAGGAGTTTGTTTTGTTGCAGGCCAAAAGTTAAACATGGATTTCACGACGCCCCCCCGGCTGTACAGCACAGACTTTCAGGTGCGCGACCACAAGCTGTCGGGCGGCGTGTGGCTCTACAACACCAGGGACAAAAACTCCAACATCGACAGTGACCTCGGCCAGAGCACTGAATACTTCAGGTTAGTTGTGTCACTTACTTTACAGGGTGTAAGGTGAGTTTATTTCACGGTGACTGCGTTCAGCTCGCCCAGAACTCTTTACCAATCGAACTACTGCTGGAAATGACTGCACGGATCGCGTACTGGTGTAAGCGGTTGCCACGCCGCTGCCTACTACGCCAAGTGTTGTGGGTTCAAACCTCACATGGAACGACACTTTGTGTGATCCACAAATTGTTGTTCTAAATGTGGGTGTTCTTTGTGTCCCGTTTCATGTCATGACACAGGATATATTCCTAATGCGGGAGTTGTCTATTTCTAAAAAAAAATAGGCCTCTATAGTCATTTATTCATCAACAAATTACATTGTCTTTGAAATATAATAATTAAAAAATAAATAATATTAATAGTATTTAAACATAAAACATAATTGTGTCGTCATTAGTTACCATTGATGCAATATCATAAATATTTATTGAAGATTACCTGGAACAAACAGAGAGGCAGACAGCCAAAAAATGTTTAAATTGGTTTTTAGGTATAGGTATCGTGCAAATAACCGTGTGAGCATGATAAAACCTATAATTTTAACATTACAGACAGACAGACACTTCAATTTTTATTCATTTGAAGAATAAATTGCACAAGGTTTAAAAAAAAATTAGTCTATTAGTTGCACTGGTCTCAAATTAAATATAAGAAACCTTGGATCCTCATCGAGACATTTGGTCTTGTTGATCCTTGGTATACAAACTAAACACATTAACATTTTTTTTAGCTCTGAAAGCCCGGGTAAGTCAGCAGCTGGGGTTGCTTTCCAAATGGCGCCTGGCGGTGAACGAAGAAAATCGACCCAAGAATCGTGGCCCCAGGGCTCTGATGTAGAAGACCTGGAGCGAAGACTAAAAAATCTAAGAGGTTTTGATATATAATATTAATTTAAAGTTAGTTTTTAAACGTATAAGTTAGCCTTGTCGTTCACTTAAGCTATAGAATATCAATCTATTTATAAAAGGTAATTGGTACTATAATGATTTGTTTATTCATTGGGTGGGGTTCGAACCCATAACCATTCGGTTGCAAGCCTCAGACATTAAGCTAACGCCACTTCACTTCATTCACAATTCATTGTAGCGCGTCTGGAAGGGGGGTGTGTCTTTTACGTTTTACATAAACTATTATTAAAAGGGTCGTTAAAAGATTTCGGTACTGCTTTTATTTTATATTATAAACACAAAAAATACTATTCTGTTTAAAAACAACTTGATTGAAAAGTAAATTAAAAAAAAAAAGGTTTAAAACTGAGGCTGAAAGGTTCGCATCACATACGTCAGTATAATTACGTCGCTATAGTCCGACATTCGCGTTAAGAAAATAGTGACGCATCGATTAAGCCCCGCCCCCTGACCAATCATGTTCCAAGAAATTTTATTACCAAAGCTTGGGATTCGTTTCACCGCTGTAATACTGGTGAAACTAACCAATTCCAAACTCACTACTGTATATATATCCCATTAATAATAACTTATCAAGTGAAAGTGACCACTGTTAGATTAAATTAATACAGCCAGCAATATCATCGGGTATTTTGGGAAAAAAATTAGTATATTTAAAAGGTGGTAGGTAGGAAATAAATGTAAACGGATATTGTTTATCATCGAGAAGCTCAGGGTAGCTCTAGTTTCTTACAAAATAGTTTATAAAATAATTTATATTTTTATCTGTTAATCGACAAGGCTTAAGTTTTAGTTTGTAAGGAGAGGAATCTTATTCATGACTGTCTTTAGGTTATAGGTAATATCATGGTGTAAAACTAACAGTTGTTTGTGTTCTGTGTAACGTTCTATTGGTTTTTATATTTTAGAAGCTTTATGGTATATAGGAAAAAAGAGAGCAGAGGGGTAACCTGATAGTAAGGGTCATTATGTCACACATTTTTAGAACCCCTCCCCCCCCTTTTTTTTTTTTCCCGTGCCGAAATCACCTCGGATACCACCTGTCGGTGGCATGTCGGACTCGAACCGACTAAAACCGCACGCCGTCTCGGGTACTAATAGCCGGGGAACCAGGTATACCCTAGAAAGGAAGTCCCTGGTGCCCCGACATACCTCGGGTCATCTACAGACGAGTAGACGACCCCGCCTCGTGTGGTAACCCCATGTTCCCTGTGCTCCCTGGAAGCAAGCGCGCTTCGCAACGCGCTCGCCGCCACCCCGGCCTGCTTCTGCTAGGGTGACAGATGGCCTCACCTGTCACCCCCAGGCCTGCGCTTATGGAGGACGGAGGTCGTTCTGCGACCTCCGGCGCCTGAGTCGCCTGCGGTACCTGGCCCGTTCCCGGGCCTGGCGGGCCGGGAGAGTCCTCCCTCGCCCGGTCCCGCTCCGCCGTCTCCTTCGAGAACCCCTCCCCCCTGCTGTGACGTCACGCAGTTTTCAATTTTATTCGTTCAATACTCTCGTGAATTTATCGTGTTAATTTAAATTACTACGCCGCCCTAGTAGTTGAATGTTGTTGCGTGAGAGAAGATATAACGAGAGTGATAAAGTATTAATAAATATACGTCGAATTCGTAAATTTTTTATTTTTTATTCACATATAAATTTCTCGTTTTAATATTTTTACATGTGACGTCACAAAACATTTGACCTCCCCTTATCACATAATAACGTGTGACGTAATTTATGGATGGCCCCTAAGTGGCCCTCCCCCCTCTACTTAAGGTGGGTCCTTCGGAAACCTCGCACACTGTGAAAGATACGACAACCAGCATAGACAACGGTAACAGACTTGTGACTCCTCAGTTACAGGCGTTCATGAGCGGTGGTAGTTGCTATCAGGTTACTCGTCTGCTCCTTTGCCCCCTCCTCTATAAAAAAAAAACAACCTCAAACACTATAGGTTAGTGTTGCCTTGATAATCAACTACTTATTTAGTAGATTAAAATTTAAAAAATGGCAACCCAGTATAGTTTAATATGGATGCCAACAACTGGTAGATTTACAATAATCAGTCGTATACCTGCCATATTAGGTTTTAAATTCATAAATAAATAACGATAAAAGTAAAAAAAAAAGTTTAAGTTAAAAATCCAAATTTAATGAAGTAAGTTTGTAAATATATTAAAATAATTTACATGATATAGATAACGGACTTGAAATACACGTGCTATTATAAATTAAATTAAAAAATTATAAATGGACATTATCCCACAGTTGGGCATAATCCGCTTCATATGAAGTGTTGGCGAAACAGACCGGTCTGTACACCATCGAATTAATACCGGATAGATAAAGTGGGTTACAGAAACAATCTGTGATCCTAAGTTCCTTTTTATATTAAAAAGACAAATTTTATAAGACCAATAGCTTTGCCTGTGGCTCTGCCCGCTTGTCGGTTATCGCGGTAAAAGGTACCTACGTCCTTCCTCAAGAATCAGACTATCTCCATGCCAAATTTCATTAAAATCGGTTCAGCGGTTTATCCGTGAAAGCGTACCAGACGGAGTTACTTTCGAACGTATAATATTACTAGACCTTGCCCGCGGCTCCACCTGCGTGTATGTATGTTATATAATGTAGCTATTTAATAGTAAAAGAATTTTTTAATTCGGTTTAGTGGTTTAGGCGTGAAAGCGTTACAAACAAAGAAACGAACAAAATCACTTTAATATTTATAATATAAGTATGGATCTATGAGATCCATGTATTTATATTTAAGTATATAAACATACTTAAATATACATACATGGATCTGAATGTTGGCCAACCAAGAGAACGGAAAAGACGCCTGTAGGTGGCTTAACATAACCCTTACTTGGCAGTCGGGTAAAAACGGAATATATAAAAAAAAAACTATTTATTTATTATATTTATTTATTTATTTTCTTTAAAAACAACTATTTTTACATGCTTAGCCCAATGCAATAGTGTTATACCATCTACTTATTTATTATAAGAAATAATTCTTAATGCTGTTACTGTGAATTCACTCAGTGAGCAATAAAATAAATCTACTTCATCCGCAATTATATTCAGAGTACGTAGTATATATATTTATCAACTACTAAAGCATGTGTATTTCAAGTAACAGTTCTTGTAAATATTGTACATAAAAAATATAATCAAACAGTAGGTTAAATTTTTTATAACGAGAATATAGATAGGTTATCGAAAATTTTTGGAAAAAAATACCAAAAAAAGTATAGTTTTTATAAATAATTATCTAGATCGTAATTGTGGTGGCGGTCCCAGTTGTCGAACTTGTGATATTGATATTGAATGTGTACTAGACAATTGGTGCTCTCACCTTATATGAATATAATATATCATCATCATCATCATCAGCCTATCGCAGTCCACTGCTGGACATAGGCCTCTCCCATAATATATAGTCCTTATGAACTTGATTTGACATACACATAACAATTATCAACAATAATGACATCATCAACAGCCTTTAATAGTCCATTGCTGGACATAGGCCTCTCCTTAGCACGGAGGTTTTGACCTACCATACCATGGTGGCCAGTCGTATGTGGTTTGTGTCAGGTTTTTCTTCTCTTCGCAGTGCTGTTGTTCTGCGTAGTTTGCTCCCTTAGTCGGCTCTTGCGAAACTCACGGGATGAGTAGGGGTGGGGACAATCCGAATTCTTATTCTATTACCACACGGACAATCAACAATAATCCCAAACGTTAATAAGTTTCTTAAATGAATTATGGGAATATACCCATGATATATAAACTATTTTATTTCTGACTGCACGGATGGCGTACTGGTTTAAGCGGTCGCCACGCCGTTTCCTACTGCGTCGAGTGTTGTGGGCTCAAACCCTACATGGGACGACAATTTGTGTGATCTACAAAATGTCGTTCTGAGTCTGGGTGTTCTTTGTGTCCGTTTCATATATATGTTTGTAAAGTCCCCCGCGACATAGGATATATTGCTAATGCGGGAGTTGTCTTAAAAAAAAAATATTTTTTACGTTACCCGCATTCTCTCCAATAAGGCAAATTAAATAGGTGGAAATTACCAACATTCTGTTCAGTTACCCACTTAATTGTGCGCTCTAACGACGTATATTCTTCTGTCTTGTGTTAACATATATAGAAATCTATTTTAATCCCTTCGAAACTACTAAATAAAATCTCTTTTGATGGATAAGAAACAAATATAAATAAGTTATGTTAAATTCAGTAATATAATTTATTTCAAATCTTTAGCTAAATTTAATAATTGTTTTATATTGATATCATTTATTAGGGTTCCGTACCTCAAAAGGCAAAAAAGGAACCTTTAAAAGATCACTTTCTTGTCCGTCTGTCCGTGTGTTACCACCGATTTTCTCAGGAACGGGTAGACCTAGCAAGTTGAAGTTTATACCAGATACTGAGGTTTATAATCCCTATTAGGTGTATAAAAATCAAGGTTTTGAGTCAACACGATAAAAAGATATAGGCAAATTTCGATTTTCGCGAAGACTTGTAAGTGGCAAAAAGAAACGTCTTACAACACAAATAAAGGAATATTTCCAAAAAATTAAAAAAAGTAGATAATTAAGATAAATTTTGGTACTTACAAATTTTCGTGAAAATCTACGCAAAATCTGGGTAGGTACAGAACCCTCGGCGCACGAGTTCGACTTGTACCTGACCGGTTTTTGTTTGTTAATAAAAGAGAATAACCGTTGTAGAAATTATAAATAATAAAGGATGTCATAGTGAAACGGCATAGGCTAGCTATCGTACAAGAGTAACACAAACACACCAAAGGCATCTTTCATTTAATATCGTTTTTATCGTGGGGAAGTAGACAGTAAATCGTTTCTTATCCACCAAAAAAGATTTTATTTATGAAAGGAAAAAACATTATTCTTTTATCGAAAATTGTTCTGAAACTTCGTCTCGTAGGCAGCTGGATTGGTTTTAATAACGTAAATTGTTTTAATAAACAGTTACTGGATTCGTTCTAGTTCAATTTATTTTTGATAGATTTCGTTAGTATCATACCTATTGTGTATGATTAAATAAATAAATAATAGAAATATCGTTATTCTTAATCTTAGGTCTTAATCCAACATAGGTCCTAGCGTTGTGAGGTGATAGTCCATTGCGCCTTCCCTCGGGTCGCTGATGCTTTGTATGATATGGCGCACGTATGGTCTCACTGCGGTAGGCAGTTTTCCATCAGAGCTCTTCACGAGTGCATACCAATCGTCTGGGTCTTTGGACCTCATTGCTGCCTCTCTCACATTAAGGGCGCTGTCTTCGTCTTCTGTCACTTCCATTTCCTGTCCGTCCACGGTATACGGAGTGTGTATATGCGTATGCAAGACATGCAGCGTTGGCAAATATGTCCATTGCCCTAGACTCAGTGAGATGTCTTGCATTTATGGACCTGGATGATCGTATGAGTGCTCCTGTCAGATGGACCCACTCAAAGAAATAGGGGTTAGCTGCTTATTATTATTATTGCTGATTACTATTATTGTTTTGTGTTATTAATGCTCTGATTATTGTCAAAGTGAAAGGAATTTGTAGTAAAGTCCAACACTAAAACTCTACAACTGCTATTTTTAAGCTAGGTATTTTTATATTAAACAGATTCTTTAGAGCGAAACAGTGATTATAAAAGGGCTTGGACCTATTTCTTAGCCTTCCATGGATTTACAGTGCGGGTGCCGGGTCCATCGCGTGATAGAATGGGGCAACACATGCGACTTCGACAGCGCCTGGGACTTGCGACCTAGGTATAGGTTTAGGGAGAACTCATTGTGACGAGTCAGCGCTCAAGACAGCGGAGATGAGCGCAAGAGAAAAGCGAGCTCAAGAAAAGAGCTTACAGGCAATCCAAGGTCTTTAAGCTGGTTATAGAAGGATTTAGCTGGTATACCCCTCGGACCCACTTCCACGGCATTCCACTCAACGACATAACCAGTTTTAGTTATTTCATTGGTTAGGTCAACGTTAAAGTGTGGTCTTTAGGGATCTTCGTTTCCCACGGCACCGTGAGTTCTACTAGTACTACACGCTTAATTGAAATTGCATAACGAAATATGTCTGGTCACGGATATCCTCCGGTATTCTGTAATGATTTCCATAAGTGTCCACTAATAATCTCCAGTCACTGGCGGTATTTATAATTGAGTAAGGCTTTTGTGAAGTCTTATTTGTTGAGCCTTCCTTAACAAACGCGATGTTAGTTCTTCTGTTTCTTGTTATTCCTTTTTTCGCTCTCGCCAGCGATAAACTGGTCTAACCCAGGTCTAATAGCGCCTTACAACCTGTCAGTAAGTGTCTGGCTGTACCTATATCCGCACTGCACATCGTACAAGCCTTATTTTGTAGCTTGTCCCCACCTTACTAGGTTGCTTTGATCGGGGAGACTCAATTAAAAGGCGTTGTACTAAAATTTTAACAGGGCAGGTGACCAATCATATAAAAGTGTGCGCCATTTCAAAGCTGATGGGATACGAAATTCTCCTAGAGTTCTTCAGTAATTCTGCATTTCTAGGTTCATTGCGTGCACCTTGTAGGTCTCGTTTTCATCTTGTTGTAGGAAAGATTTTGTTATCTCTTTGTCGGTCTGTCTCCTAGCATTTCCCAATCCAACTCTACTGGACTGCATACCCACCATGAATATCTTGTGGACTTGAGAGTCGTGACTCGAGCTCTGATGAATTTTTGTCTTTTGGAAGGGATCTAATGATTTCGTCTTGTGATTGTGACAAGACATGCATTTTGGTAAATCTTAGGTGTTTGTAGAGTTCCGAAGGTCTTTTTAATTACATTCCAAAGTTATTCGAGCCCCTGTACAACGTAGACGGGTCTGCTGATGTTGCTAGCCTGAGCCACGACTTCAACGTCTTAGTGACTTTCGCGTCCAGTGTTCTTAAGTGGTTCTGGTTTATATAGTATACCAGAAACGGATTACATCACATCAACAGCCTTTCATAGTCCACTGCTGGACATAGGCCTCTCCTTAGAAAGGAGGTTTTGGTCTACTATACCACGCTGTCCAGACGGGTTGGTATAGGGTTTGTGTGAAGTTTTCCTTCTTTTTGCAGAGCTGGTGTCCTGCGTTGTTTTGCGCCCTTAGTCGGCTCTTACGACACCCACGGGATGAATTAGGGTAGTGACATTCCGTATACTTAATCCGTCTTTACACGAACCAAATTAAATCATATTTTTTTCGTAAAATTCATTTTCAATAATAATAATGTGGCTCCCTATTATATAATTTATACTTTCGATTGTGGAACATATCATGAAATCAAACTCATTTGTATTTTATTTTACTTGACTGGTTCAGTTCTTTCATAACGGTGTCTTGTCAAATTAAATAGTGGAACACAAGTAAAAGTGAGTATGATTTTATGTTATTATTTCTTCATTAAATGATTTACATTATAAATAAAAGCTTGAAACACTTCTTGAAAACGTATCCTGTACGATTTATTGCGACCAAGCCATCGTCACAATAGACCGTAAATAACTGTTTATGACTAAAACATAAACACAGTCGAACAGTCACAACCTGCAAATTACTATCTCTGAAAAGCTTTCCAAGTACCAAGATCCTTTATTTTTAGGGCGGGGTAGATAATCCCTTCGGATCTTCTTTCAGCCGCAAGCTTCTCGGTCCAATCCTTACTAGCACGTTGATGCCTGATCGCGTCTTGATGTCATGATTGATGATGACTGAGACCCTGACCACTAGAGGTCTTCACAACATCCTGCAGGCTTGTTCGGGGCAGCAGCCCCCTGTCAGCGACTTTGCTACACTCAAACTCATGGGGTGTTTCGGTACCTGGTGTACGGTACTGTTTTTAGTCTTCACGCCGCCCCGGCGGGTCTGCCTGAGCCAGATAAGGACTGTCTGGGACTACTTTAGTCTAGGGAATTTCCTCTTGTCTGGGGGTAGAGCCCCGGCGCCAGGCTTCGGTTGTAGCTTCAAGCCAATTCGTCGGCCTACAACCTGCTATTTATGTATGTATCGAACTGAGAACTTTTACTCCGTATTTCGATGCGTCTTCGTTAGATGGTATAATATTCTATTACGGTACACGGTAATTAGATATAAATGTATGTTTGTATATAAAACTTGATATAGTGCCTTTCCTTTGTCATTGAAACACTCAATGTACACCTGCCTTATATTTTTATAAATTTGGGGGTAATCAAACATTTTTTTGGTTAAATACTCACTTTTTAATTTGAAATATTTTCAACTCTTAAATATTTGTAGTTAGTAAATTATATGAGGATTTCATATTTATTGAAGATAAGTGGTTTTCTCGCTCAGTCACTACTTCTAGGATGACTGCTGGTTCAGATCCGATTTTGGTTCTTTTCCATGGAGTGAAATGTCCCGCCGCGACGATATCTGGTGTGAGTTTATTTAATGTGTAACGGGACTGTAACTTCTCAAATAAGTACTATTACTAATATTTAAGAGATTTAAAAAAGAAACATGCTACGCGTCTTAATTCACGTTCACGCAAACTACCGCAGATTTAAAATAGAATTTAATTCTCTGACAAAAATTGTGTCATCTTAGTTTTGTAAACAAACTTTGCCTAAACGTGGTTCCATTAGCCCGTGAACTAGGTATCTCAGCAATATTCGTATGGGTCACCCGTCATACAGCTGTGTGGTGTGTCTGGTTGCAGGGAATTATTCGCGTTGCTTTGAATCAATATTCTAGTGCCTTACGTGGGTCTTAACTCCGGGAGCCCGCACGGGCTTCTCGAGCTGATCTTTCTGAGAAACCAGGCTAAAATTTAATCCTTAATCCAGTTAGGGATGTTGTAGTATTACTATTCGCATGCAAATGCAAAGCTGTTGCGAATGCGATTATATCCGGATGTTTAAGATCCTGCAACTGCATCATCCACAATCTGAAGATTTGAGAGTTACATTACATCAAATTAAATACGGCTCTCAGTTACCTAAACCCTAACGCTTTTAAACTTAGCCTTAGTGATATCCTGAAATAACTTCTTAGCGTTACAATTGTTTTGTGCCTATGTGTTTTATATGAAATTGTATATGGAATCATTCTAGGTTGTGATTGCTTATAATATTTACTTTGTTTTAGTAGTTTATAATGTGGTTTTTTCGATTTGTTATTAGAAATTCACCATATGTGCCTCGGCGAACTTGTTTTGAGTATAAAGGTAGTCTTTCAAAGCAAGCGTCACTGACGCGGCGTTAAGTGACTGGTGTCAGTGGCGCCTTGCTGACTTTGGCTGGCAACGACAGACGTCAATCAATCGTATCGCCTTTGCCGCCATCTCCATAGGTCTTAAAAGTATTTCATTATGGATCTACTTAAACTGATTATGGAAAAGGACACCAGCACCTCAAAAAGAAGGAAAACTTGAAACAAACCCTATACCAACCCGTCTGGTCAGCGTGGTATAGTAGTCCAAAACCTCCTTTCTAAGGAGAGGCCTATGTCCAGCAGTGGACTATTAACATCTGTTGATGATAGATGAGGAAGAAGATGATGACCCTTCGATGTTCTCATTCTAATTTTTTCAGACTACATCTTGTCTTTCTTTCGTTTATTTTGTTAGCTTTCCATCCTTAAATTATAAAGCAATGGATGCCCAGACACCAGTTTAATTATTATTTTATCTTCTTTTGTAAATTTGTCAATAGATGTCATTTTATAGAAATTAACCTCAAAATACACTTGGCATCGGCGACACTACGTACATGAGCGCGGCAGTGACGTTGGCGTCTAACGTCACAGCTGTCGAACGCTCGAATGTCGTTTCTTCCATTTACATTTGCATTAATCTGCCTCTCTGTCGTGACGTCACTAACGCGGTGCCACTAACGCTACTGACGCTTGCTTCGAAAGCCTACCTTAAAATATGTTACATCCGACACAATTAGCAGCTTTCATTTAATTATATTCGAATTTATTTAGGTTTTGATGACAAATAAATAATTTAAAATATTTAATGTGGAATCGCTTTTAAACTGAAGTATTAAGGTTGTAATTTGATGTAAATTGTTACTTTTAAATAGTCACATAAAGGAAAATATTGTAGAAAGTGACAAAACTAAAGATCAAAACCATGCAAAATGTTTGATCTTTTCCGGTAACTGATGCTCGATTGTCTTCCTGTACAATAATGAGTATGAGAATATGAGTCGTGTTTATTAAATTACAAGGTTTAATTAGGACGCGATTAACCATTGTTTTACATAATCGTGAAACGCGGATACACTTGCTTGAAATTGAACAAGCCGAACGCCCTGTCTCAATAACATA